GAGGAACAAGTTAATTTAAGTAATAATATAGACTTACGTTTATCAGGTCTCTAAAACTTCTCCAAAGTTCTGTATGCCTGGAGAAGAAAGGTTTTGTACTCTCTAGAAGCTGCTCTTTTGCAAGCTGACCTTTATTGAAAAGATAAATATTTTGAAGAAAAGCGTTGTATATACGATTTCCCGAGGAAGCATCAGCATCCAATGCATCGCGAATCTAAATTAAGGCAATGTAAGAGTTGGCTCAAGCAGATAATAATGCTAAAATAAGTAGGATTGAGCAATACCTTTGATATAAGCGCCATATCATGTGCACTTCCATGCTGTGCAGAATCTACGAGACTGACATCACGATAATGACGCGATTTTTTGGCGAGAACTGGTACATTTGGGGAAATTGAGTTAGATGCTAGACGTTTGATCTTTTTTGATTCTTGGGCAGGGGGCTGATTCGGTGGAGGAGAAACAGCTGGAATGCTTGAAGATGGTGTTGAGTATGGAGTAACAGCTCCCACGTCACGAATTCTCGATTCCGGGTGTCCACGTGGACCACTAGATGTAAGAGACATGTGTTCGACGAGAGAGGTGCTTTTTTTGCTTGGTGTTTCAACCTGATAATCGAATAAGTTGTTATTATTAAATGTATTGAAGCAGCATCAAGTGGTTCACACAAACTTACTGTGCAATTAGGGAGAGGAGATGACTCGGGAAGAAACTGATGGAATTCTTCAAGTAAATCCTCTTGTCCATCAAACAGCTTAGCAACGTCCTGATACACCGTATTCTCCGCCAATTTTCTATGAGTAGCATCAGTATTCTTTTGTTCTCTTTGATACCAGTGCAAAATGTCAAGGAATTGCTGATATACTTCTGGATTTCCTTGAAAGCGATTCTAAATCGGAAGATAAGCACAAAGATTCTTACTTTAATTTTATTGACATAAAGGAAGGCATGATTAAAGGACTGCGTATGGTTGTTAGCAGGAACTTGGGAATTAAAACCTAGAGTAGTAATATTGTGTGATGGATAAAGTTCGCGGAGTGAAGAGCCGTGTTGTGCATCCAGAAAGGGCCCAGACTGTTGGTTATGGATAAAAGTTTCGATTTTCGTAGTGGGCGTTTGGACTCGTGGCCCAGCTGGAGGTGCCACTCCGATGTGACTCGTGAACAGATGGTTGGGAGTACGTAATCCTGGAACTGTCGGTAAAACGGAGGGCTGAGCAAGTTGATGAACACTAATTGTGGCTTGGTCGCATGGGTCAGATGAACGACCACTAGAGGTAAGTGATCTAGTGCTGGGATCACAAGGAGGAGCCGGACTAATACATGGCGGGGGAGGCTGGTAGACAGGCGACTGTACGATCCTTTGGCTACCCGCACTACCACCTCTCAAGCCCTGTGGTATGAAGGTGTTAAAGCCGGATATTAAGTCATCGTGACCACGAAACAATTCCCGTACACGGCGTATGACGGCTTCGGTACCAATACTGATTAATAATATAATAAAATATAATATAAAAGAGCTTACGTCTGGGCTTTGAACTCCCGCATAACATCTAAAAAATCTGTGTATATATCGCCTTGACTTGCGAATCTCGCTTTAACTTGATCCAAATAAGCTAGAGCATCTTCGACCCTGAGGCGCATCTCGAGTTTGAAATGCAAAAATGTATAACCAACAGTCCCTGATAAAATTAATTAATTAATCTAGTAAATAAGGCCTATTAAATCAGTCAGTGGGAAAGAGATGAAAACCTCGGGAAACATATGTGAAAAAGGAGCTATCCCATTAGATGAAGTACAGAATAACCGGAACCAATTATTGTAATAAATTAAAACAAATTAAAATTGATTTGTTGAAATATCAATAATAACGGCAAGATATAAAGTTTAAGATTTTAAAATCTTTATATAAGGTTTTGGACAATGATTTTTTAATATATAGTATGATGTAATTATGACTTTTTCTCGGGCTTGCGAGATCAAAACGCTATATTAGCTATTTTAGTTTATAAGTAGATTTTCTAGACCACTAGAAAATCATATATATGAGAGATATTTACCGAATTTTTTTTTAACTGATGAAGGGATTAAAGTTGAACTTTCCCACAATTATTTGAATTGGCCCTACTTTTCCGTTGAATTTTACATATCCTTGCTTTCCAGAATTTGTTATGACCCTTTTGTAAAACAATATGGAATCGTAAGTACTATTCATATTATTGTTTGAAAATTTAATTACGCATTATACAAACAAGTCAATGAAACGTTGTAATTTGATTTAAATTTTCTGCGTAGATTTGAGTATTGCAGTGTCAAGTCCTCGTCATCTGCTACCGTATTCATCATATTTTCCAGTGTCGGATCGATGACATAGCGCATACCCAGATCGTTTGTGGGTGAGGCTATCGTTAGTACAGAATTATAACTTATCAAAGTGATAAGTAAAAGCAATACCCTAGACTAATTTTTGGCTTAAATTTTGTATTATCTCTCTTCTCGCTTTGCCCTGGCATTATCATCCCTTGATCCCCTGAATATTACCCATTTACCTACTTACACGTTTTTGGGCTTTCTTTTGCTATAAGTTTGCCTAAGATCGCATCATTACAAATCAATTAGGTGAAGCGGTATCATCTTTATCACCGGATTTAGATTCCGTTCACTGGCCTTGTAGGACCTAATCAGCACCTTCAATAAGCCAACGTTCCCCCTTATTATCGGCTGTTTCCTGATACATATATAAGTCAATCTAATTGAATGTTTATCCTGGTCCACGCATGTCTTGCCATCTTTTTCTCCATTAAGCTTAAGACCCACAAACCAGTTATACTCTTTCTTGTTTCCACCCCATTCTGTCCAATTATTTGAAATTGCTAGTGTGAAGATGGACTTATTTACTTGTCCACTTCTGAATTATCTAAAGGACATTTTTGTCTCATATCGACAGTCCAACCGAATCCTATGTTTCTACTCAATTGTAAATGTGCATGTTGGTTGATAACTACTCTTATCAGCTACCTCTTACTATACACACGCACCCATTCAACCTATGTTCTGGGGAGCAATTGATATTGCGCTTTCACCCCGGTCTTCATCTCAATGTGGATTTGAAATGAATCAAGATCCTTAGCTTATCACCTCCAATGGTGTACTATTCGGGCGTTTATGGTCCTTAAATTAAATATACCTATGCTAATTACCCTGTGCAGCCGGTTCTGAATTTGACTCCTCTCACTGCAAACAACTACCCATGATTATTAATTGTCCTTCCGGATCGTCTTACTGGCGTTATCTCTTCCTGAACTTGAATAAATGTCCTATATCCAAACGTCTACTCTTAGCTATCATTGCTGAATCCTGAATTTCTATGAATCTGATAATACAGTAAG